CCTCTTGCCTAAGAAGCTTCTGGACATGACAAAGGTCTTTCAAACAGGGGAGTATGTTTTCCCAAAGGAAGCACAAACACAATCAAGCAGGGGAACCTCCCCAGGTGGCACATGGTTCTGCTTGTCTTTGTCTGCTCCATCTATCACCTAATCGTAGTGGGAATAGCCTCATCATTGTCACAGTGGAGAGTGAGCAGCCCTGGAGGTTCCTGAGTTAGTTCTTCCTTGGCAGGCTTTCCTTCTTGGAGATCTGCTGTGCCACCACCCTAGATGCTGGAGACATTCCATCCTTTGCTTTCCTTTTCCCACTTCCTATGCATGACTCAGTTCCTGATCCTCTCAGCCATGTCCTTTGATCATTCTGTCACCATATGCAAGGTGCTCAGTGAAAAAAACATTATCATGACCAAGAAATTCTACTTCCTACCATCACTGAGAGAACGGTCAGTGGGCTTTGTGGTCATCTTGTCCCAGATGGCTCTGCTGCTGCAGTGTCCTTTCTGCACCAAGAAGGTTGTTGACCATTTCTACTGTGATGCTGGGCAAGCATGATCACGGCATGTTGGGTTTGTGTTGACCTTGGCTGGCTGTCAGGTGCCCACCAAGCTGCTCTGTCTCTCCTCCTCCTCAAGATGACAAGGGAGAGAAAACAAGATGAAAGGCTCATGGGTTGAGATAAGAACAGGAGATCACTCAGCCCCTCACCGTCACAGGCAATGTAGACTCAACTTGGGGAAATTAATTTAATGTATTGACAATCAAATCATAGTTGGATAATAAGAAATAAGAACAAACCTGAAAACACTTTCCCCCCACCCCTCCCTTCTATCAGGATCAACTTCACTCCCAACTTCTCTACTTCGTCCTCCCAAGTGTCTCAGGGGGATGAGGAACCGGGGGTGTATTCAGTTCATAACGCACTACCTCTGATGCTCCTTCCTCCTCATGCCCTTCCCCTGTTCCAATGTGGGGTCCTTCCCATGGGATACAGTCCTTCATGAACCTCTCCAACACAGTCTCATAGACTGCAGTTCTTCACAAACTGCTCCAGCATGGGTCCTTTCCACAGGCTCCAGCCCTTCAGGAACAGACTGCTCCAGTGTGGGTCTCTGACAGGCCCACAGGTTTCTGCCAGAAAACCTGCTCCAGTGTGGGATGTCCATGGGGCCACAGGCCCTGCAAGGAGCGTGCTCCACTGTGTGGTCTCCATGGGGTCACAGCTTCCTTTATGGCACATGTGGCATGGGGTCCTCCATGAGCTGCAGGTGGCACCATTAACCACAGGCTGCAGTGGGACACCCTGCATTGCCATGGTCTTCACTGTAAACTACAGGGGAATCTCTGCTCTGGTGCTGGAACACCTCCTCCCACTCCTTCTTCACTGACCTTGGTGCCTGCAAGGCTGTTTCTCTCACATATTCTCACTCTCCTCCTCCACATGCTCTTGTGCAACCATTTTAAACATCTTAAATATGTTAAACGGAGGTCCTACCACCATTGCTGACTGGCTCAGCATTGGCCAATGGTGAATCTGTCTCGGAGCTGGTTAGAACTGGCTCCGTCCAATGTGGAGGGGCAACTTTTGTCATCTTCTCACAGAAGCCACCCCTGTAGCCTCCCTGCTACTAAAACCTTTTTCCCATAAATCAAATATGTTCCACCCCTCACCTCTGTGAATCACGTGTTTAAGAATTCTTGTTAATATATGCATTCACCACACAATCTACAGTGTTCAGAACCTTCACTTACCTCAGCAAAAAGAAATCCTCACACCAAAATCAACACCGTGACAACACCCACTAAGGCGGGCAATTTACACACAATCCACCCCTCGTCCCTTCACAACAATTACAACAGCAGAAATTCCCCACAATCATTCTTCTCTCTGCTCTCTAGCAATGTTCAGTCCATGTTCCAAGGTTCCTCAGAGTTCAGCTTTAGGGCCAGTGCTCTTTAATGGTTAATGATCTGGGGGCAGGAATCAAATATACCTGGGGCCAGTGCTCTTTAATGGTTTTATAAATGATCTGGGGGCAGGAATCAAATATACCTTAAGTTTGCTGACAATATTGAACCATGACGAGCTGTGGACTGCCTTGAGATTAGAGATGCCTTGCAGAGAGATCTGGATAGACCAGAAAGCTGGGCACTCACCAGCCATGTGAAATGTAACAAGACCAAGTGCCGGATTCTCCACCCGGGACAGGGTAATCCTGGTTATTCACACAAAGCGGGGGATGAGAGGCTGGAGAGCAGCCCCACAGAAAGAGATCAGAGGGTTTGGGTTGATGGCAACTTGAATATGAGTCAACAGTGTGCCCTGGCAGCCAAAGAGCCAACAGTGTGCTGGGGTGCATCAAGCCCAGCATAGCCAGCTGGAAGTGGGATGTGATTGTCCCACTCTACACTGCACTGGTGTGTCCCCACCTCGAGTACTGTGTGCAGTTTTGGCTGCCTCAAGTTAAGAAGGACACAGAACTATTCGAGTGTGTCCAGAGAAGGGTGATCAAGATGGTGAAAGGTCTCGAGGGCAACACTTCTGAGGAGTGGCTGAGGTCACTTGGTTTGTTCAGCTTGGAGAAGAGAAGGCTGAGGAGTGACCCCATCACAGTCCACAACTTCCTCCAGAGGGGCAGTGGAGGAGCAGGTGGTGATCTCCTCTTTCTGGTGACCGGTGATAGGACACGTAGAAACAGTGGGAAGCTGCATCAGAGAAGTTCAGATTGAACATTAGGAGAAGGTTCTTCACTGAGAGGGAGACTGGACACTGGAACAAGCTCCCCGGGGAAGTGGTCCTGTCAGAGTTGAAGGAGCATATGGATATAGCTCTTAGTTGTATGGTAGTCCTGCAGGGAGCAGGGAGTTGGACTCAAGGATCCTTATGGGTCCCTTCCAACTGGAGATATTCTAAGATTCTATGGCACATCAATACACGTAAAACCACATGTGCATGCACAGCTAGTTCCACAGGAAATCCTGCGCGTGCACACACACACACACACATTCACCCCTGAGACTTTCCTATAAATATTTGTACACATTGATAAGGTCCCCTCTCAGTCTTCTCTTCTCCAGGCTGCACAGGCCCAGGTCTCTCAGCCTTTCCTCATAAGAGAGGTATTCTTGAGGCCCAGAACTGGCCCAGAACTGGCCCTCAATACTTGCCCTTCTGGCCCTGCACGGCTACTGAGGGGCCCAGAACTGGCCCTCAATACTTGCCCTTCTGGCCCTGCACGGCTCCAGCAGCCAGACAGGGACTTTCAGGCTGGCTGAGTACAGGATGAGTTAGGGTTCTGTGGGACCTCTTACAGTCCCTTCATGGCATTTCTGGGCATTTCTACTGTTCCTGAGGACAGGGTTCTTCTCAGATCCATCCCTCTCATGTCCCAGGTCCCTGAGGCACTGGTTATTTCAGGAAGCTGATTTGCAACACTGCCTTCTTAGGTCCAACCTTCTGTCTGTCCTACACCTGTGCTCTGTGAGTCCAAAGCAGGTGGGAAATGTCATGCCAGGTCCATGCTTTCTCTGTGTCAGTACTTTTGACATGCACAGCATCACGGTAGTACTGGTGCCACAGGGAACGTCCAGCTGTGGGCAATCCCACAAGAAGGCTGTGCAATCAGAAGGAGCAATGCTCTCAGTGGCAGGTGAGGAGAGGGCAACCCCAGGGTGCTGAGCCCACCGAGATCTCCTCTCTCTCTCCCATCCTTACGATCGCATGCCTTGAAGGACATTTTCGTGTCCCCAAATGCCAGTGAAGGGGGAAAGGGGGGGAGGAGGGGGGATGTTGAGGAAACATATATGGGGACAAAGGCATTTCAGTCCTGTTCTCCTCGGTGCCATCCCTGTCCCGTGCTGCCCACCCCAGACTTGCCTCTTCCGCGGGCCGCAGCCCCGAGGAGAGCCCGGCTCTCGCACCCCGAGCCTCCCCTCCGCACCCAGGGACGGCCCGGGCGAGCCCCCGAGCGGCGCCGGCGCAGGGCTGAGCCCCGGGGCGGAGCTGGCGGCGGCGGAGAGGAGAGGAGGCGTCGGAGAGGAGGCGCGGCGGGCGGAGCAGAGAGCCGGGGCTGGCGGGGGGCAGCGAGGCGCGGGCGGCGGAGCGGCGGGATGCGGCGGGGCCGGGGCGCAGGGCTGGCGGGGCTGGCCGCGCTGCTCCTGGGTGCGTGGGGCTGGCGGCGGTGGATGGGGGCCGGGGCTGTGCCCGGGCTCTTCCCCGGGGAGCCCAGCGACGACTCTTCCCTCTCCTGCCTCAACAGGTCTTTCCCCCTCCTGCTGCTCTGCCATCTTTGTGCCCCTTTCAAAACCCTCCAAGTCTCCTCCCGCAGTTCTCCCAGTTTCTTCACCACCTCTTTCGGTACAAGCCTGCTTGCGTGTACACCTGATTTTTCATGCAGCCTCTCTTTCCTCTCTGCATTCCACAGTTCTTATCGCCCTGAATATGGCCCTCTGTCCTTCACTGTAACAACTCCTCTCACTGTCTACTCTTCCTCTCTCCACTCACCCATCTTCTGACCCATCTCTCCAGGCATCTACCATCCTTCAACTCTCTTCCTACTCTCTGAGAATCCTCTCTCTTCTTGCCCTCTGCCTCTCTCATAACTGTAGGCATGTTTGCTTTTCTTCATTGTGCTGTTACTCTATACAACCACTCATACCCCTGTGCATTCTTCATTTCATATTCTTCTGAATTCAGCCCTCCATCCTTCCCTGTAACACACTCAACTTTCCTTTCCCTTCTGCCTCTCATCGTTCATCCATCCATCCATGCACCTGACTCTCATTCTATCTCTCTGTGCAACACTTTCTATTGCCCCCCAGACTGCCCCCCCCCTTCTCTACACACCTACATCAGGATGATTCTACTTCCCTGATGATGAACACCTTGTCCCCATTTCTTCTGCTCTGTATCCAAGTCCCACTTTCTAATGATTTCTTCTGGAAAAGAGCCATCAGAGCTGGGTGATCTCAGTTGATTTTTCGCATTTCCTTCTCCTTTCTCTCCAGTGGCTGCAGGCAGAGCCCAGGTGCAGCAGGAGCCATCAGCAGAGACCACGGAGGGCACCACCATCAGCATCAACTGCTCTCACCCCAACAAAAAGACCACGGATTTCATCTGCTGGTACCGTCGGCTCCCGGGCCGAGGACCCACATTCCTCGTGAGCAGTTTCAAAGACGCCAAAGATCTGCGGTCCCCGCCGGGGCAGCTGCGGGTGGCGGCAGACGGCCGGTCCAGCGCCCTGCGGCTCGACCGGCCCCGGCGCGGGGACGCGGCGGTGTATTACTGCGCCCTGGGAGACACGGGGAGAGGAGCCGGGGCTGCGGCCGGGCAGGAACCGCGGCGGGCGGGGCCGGGCGTGTGTGTCGGGGCCGGGGGGACAGCCCCGGGCGTTCTGGCCCTGCACGGCTCCAGCAGCCAGACAGGGACTTTCAGGCTGGCTGAGTACAGGATGAGTTAGGGTTCTGTGGGACCTCTTACAGTCCCTTCATGGCATTTCTGGGCATTTCTACTGTTCCTGAGGACAGGGTTCTTCTCAGATCCATCCCTCTCATGTCCCAGGTCCCTGAGGCACTGGTTATTTCAGGAAGCTGATTTGCAACACTGCCTTCTTAGGTCCAACCTTCTGTCTGTCCTACACCTGTGCTCTGTGAGTCCAAAGCAGGTGGGAAATGTCATGCCAGGTCCATGCTTTCTCTGTGTCAGTACTTTTGACATGCACAGCATCACGGTAGTACTGGTGCCACAGGGAACGTCCAGCTGTGGGCAATCCCACAAGAAGGCTGTGCAATCAGAAGGAGCAATGCTCTCAGTGGCAGGTGAGGAGAGGGCAACCCCAGGGTGCTGAGCCCACCGAGATCTCCTCTCTCTCTCCCATCCTTACGATCGCATGCCTTGAAGGACATTTTCGTGTCCCCAAATGCCAGTGAAGGGGGAAAGGGGGGGAGGAGGGGGGATGTTGAGGAAACATATATGGGGACAAAGGCATTTCAGTCCTGTTCTCCTCGGTGCCATCCCTGTCCCGTGCTGCCCACCCCAGACTTGCCTCTTCCGCGGGCCGCAGCCCCGAGGAGAGCCCGGCTCTCGCACCCCGAGCCTCCCCTCCGCACCCAGGGACGGCCCGGGCGAGCCCCCGAGCGGCGCCGGCGCAGGGCTGAGCCCCGGGGCGGAGCTGGCGGCGGCGGAGAGGAGAGGAGGCGTCGGAGAGGAGGCGCGGCGGGCGGAGCAGAGAGCCGGGGCTGGCGGGGGGCAGCGAGGCGCGGGCGGCGGAGCGGCGGGATGCGGCGGGGCCGGGGCGCAGGGCTGGCGGGGCTGGCCGCGCTGCTCCTGGGTGCGTGGGGCTGGCGGATGGTCCCGGGCGGACGGGCGAGCCAGGGCTGAGTCTCGGGTTGCCCCGGCTGGTCCCTCTTCGCTGCCATCCCCTCTGGCTTCTTCACGGACCTCTCTCCTCGAACCATCCTCCCGTCCATCTCTCCCTCTCACCCATCACACATTCCATAGGAAAGCTCATCGCTCTGGT